ACCTGGAGAAGAGCATTTACATTGATAAATTAGACTTAAAATGAGCAAAAAATATTTACGATAAAATTCCCTACCAAGCCCAATCATTCCACTGGAATATTTATAAGGACCTCCACCTCTATTGTCGTTGATTTTCTAAAGAGGGTTTTTGTAAGGACCTCAACCTACATAAGACTGAATTTTTAAACAGGACTTTTGCAAAGACCTCCATTGGCGTAGATTTTTGAAGAGAATTTTTACAAGGACATTCATAAGAGTGGATTTTTTAAAGATGATTTATACAAGGACCTTCCTGGATTTTTAAAGAGGATTTTTACAATGACTTTCATAGGCGTGGATTTTTTTAAAGATGATTTTTACAAGGACCTCCATAGGCGTAGATTTTTAAAGAGGATTTTTACAAGGTCATTCATATACGTGGATATTTTAAAGACGATTTTTACAAGGACCTCCACCTCTATAGGCGTGAATTTTTTAAAGAGGATTTTTACAAGGACCGCCACCTCTATAGGATTTTTACAAGGACATTCATAGGCGTCGATGTTTTAAAGAGGATTTTTACAAAGACCGCCACCTCTATAGGCGTGAATTTTTTAAAGAAGATTTTTACAAGGTCCTTCATAGGCGTGGATGTTTTAAAGAGGATTTTTACAAGGGCCTTCATAGGCGTGGTTGTTTTAAAGGGGATTTTTACAAGGACCTTCATAGGCGTGGTTGTTTTAAAGGGGATTTTTACAAGGACCATCATAGGCGTGGTTGTTTTAAAGACCTTTTATCTTTACAATACTAAATCGTGTTTTACTACCCATCGATCACCTCCTTCCGGTATCTTTCCCACAAAGGGTCAATATTTTCAATATTTATATATCCCATATCAAGCGAATGGACTATCCGATTTGAAATAAACTTTGTACCACCTATTATCTTCACCAAACTTAGTCTGAAGATGGTGGGTCCATGGGACCACTCCTCCCCCACAAATGGTCAATATTTTTAAAATTGATAAATCCAATATCAGGCGAAAGGAATGACAGATTTGTATGAAAAATTGCGGAAACTATTATATTTAGGAAGCCTAGATAAGTCCAAATATGGGACTAATTGATCCACTCCTTCTGGTACCTCCTCCACAATGGGTCACATTTTTCAATGTATATAATTTAAATATTAACCAAACGGAATGTTCGATTTAAAGCTAAATTTGCACAACCTATTATCTTTACCAAGTCCACATCAAGTCCGAAAATGGAGCCCACTGGTCCACTCCTTCTGGTATGTCCCCCACAAAAGGTAAAAATTTGCAATATTGACGAAGGATCACGATCTGCGAATTTACACTTGGAATGTGCGCACGTCGAACAGACAGGCTCAGCGTTCGCTTTGGCGGATGTATTTAAGGATTGCTATAATCCGTATAAAAGCGACGATCTTCTACATCAGTCTCATTTAAGCACATTCTCTGACAGAATACAAAGATTAGCAGACCACAGGTATATTCTACAAGCGCCGAGAAGCAGAATGTGACCACTGCCTTGACCTTAAAATTCTGCTAGGAGATTTTAATGCAAAAATTGCAAAATTGCAAGAAACATCCGATATCGGCATCAGTCAGAATGAAGTCCGGAAATGTTGTCAATGAGTAAAACACCAAACCAAAGGTGCATGCACAACCTCCAGTAGAGAAGAAGAAATAAACTTGGCAACAGATACAGATATCGTGCTGTGGATTTGGAAGGAGCATTTTGCAAAGTATCATTGCTAGTATCATATACCCCAGAACTGATAAGATATGACGGTAAGAGTATATATCACTTAGCCAAGATGAGGTCTGAGGTCATCGACTGAAGAATAATAAAGCAGCAGGTGCCGATGGGTTATTATTCAAGATAGGTTGTCAAATGCTGATCAGCAGCATGCGTCAGCAGAGTAGTAAAAATTGGAAAAGACCCACGAAAAACACATCGACATCTTTCACCTATTCGTCGATTTGGACAACCCTATACATTAAGAGGTATTTAAAGCCAATTTTGCGTTCGGCATTTTTGCGAAATGTATACGATTATGCAGGATAACATAAACTGACATAAGGTCACCAGTTAAAATGGGAATATTTAGGATCTGATATGGACCAAAAACTTTATTTTGTCTGTTTTTCTAGTTGCTCTAGAGGCCTCAATTACGATCCGAACGTTACGAAATTTTATACCGAGAAAGGGATTTGGCCAATTAACAATGAAGAATCCTTTCATAAGAATCGGTCAATATTTAGCGAGTCAAATGGACCCAAGCTGTTATGTGAAAAATGGAAAAAATACATTCTATGGCCTTTATGTTCACTCCTGAAAGACATTAGCTCGAGAAGTTGACAGTATATCCAAAAGGAGTGGTTGACCTTTAAATAGATATAAATATGAATGTATGCACTCGGATAGGGGAGTTATATGTAAATATTTACAGTGATCTACATATTCGGATATTGTTTAGTATTATTACCATTGCCTTATTGGCTAAAGGAAACATCACGTTCATCGTTTTGAAATTTTACACGAAGTTGCGGTTGTGGCCAAGGACGACGTCTAAAATAATCGGAGATTTAGGGGATGAAATCGATCGGAAATATTATTTTTGGTATTTTAGTCGCCCTAGAAGCCACTGTTAAAAAAACATTTTAAGTTTAATACGGGAAAGGGAACCTGTTTTGATAATGATCGACCTGTATTTAGTGGTTCAAATTAACTGAGACTTTTGTGTGAAAAAAAAACAAAATTTGAATCTTTTGGGGTCAATGTTCTCTCCGAGCAAAATTAATTCGGTAATATAATTCGGAAAAGATGCCAGGTGCTAGGCAGAGGAGTTTTTAACTTCTAATCGTTTAACATGTTGCAAATATTACAATATATTTTCCGCAGAAAGTTAAGGGTATCATATGGTCGGTCCCGTCCGACTATACTGATCCGCTCACTTTTTATACCCTCCATCATAGTATGAAGGGTATATTAATTTTGTTTTTCCGTTTGTAACTCATAGAAATAATAATTTTCTACTCCAATGACGATCTTTTTTCCGTTCCAAAAATTAATAATATTCGCCTCCTTTTAGGGGTAGTCTCCATATAACCCCAATTTTTATATTAAAATAGTTATCTGATTTGTTCCGCGTTTTAGGTTCCGCCCGGCCCCGAAATGAAAGCCTGTGTACGTTGCTGTTTTGAGACTTTCATTAAATGAAACATATCCGCACTAAAAATGTTTAATATTGACCCAAGTTTCAGGGTAGCCCCCATATGAAGGTATTCCCCATTATTCGGTATTTTGGGCATTTTGGACAGGTTTTCCAATCAACTTGGATGTAATTTTGTATTTTGGGTTATTATTATACACACATCCGTACTGAAAATTATTAATATTGACTCAATCTTCAGGGTAGCCCCATATATCGGTACCACTGATATTTGGTATTTTAGACATTTTTGACAATTTTCCCACCGAATTGGCTGCAATTTGATATTTTTGTTATCATTAAATGGCACATATACGAACCAAAAAAAAAATATATATATTGCGTGACTTGGCCCGCATTTAATGGTAGCCCCCATAATATGGATTTTTACAGGTTTTTCTATCAAATTGACTGTAATTTTAGTACTATTTTGAGGATTTTGGACACGTTTTTATACCCTCTACCATAGTATGGAGGGTATATTAATTTTGTTTTTCTGTTTGTAACTCATCGAAATAATTATTTTCGACCCTATATATATATATTCTTGATTAGCGTAAAATTCTATGAGGATCTAAGCATGTCCGTCTGTCTGTTATAATCTGTTATAATCTAAACGAATTGAGATATATTTGCATAGAGTAATATTTTGTGTGCAGCCAGGTCAAGTTCGAAGATGAACTATATCGGTTCACGTTTAGGCATAGCTTCCATATTACGGCACACCCCAATTTTCAGTTTTTGGGGTTTTGATCGGATTTTTCGCCCGATTGGCTGTAATTTAGTACTTTGAGTTCTTATTGGAATTATAAATATAGGTCAATTTTTTCGGGTGGTCTCCATATAAGGCTTCCCCTCAATTTTCCACTTAAAATTATAAATATAGATCCAATTTTCGGTATTTTTGGTTCTTGAGCGTGTTTTTCAACCGAATTCGCTGAAATTTGGCACATTGGGTTCTTATTGGGTACCAAATTTCTCCAATAAAATTATAACGGTACCAATCCCAATTAAAAATTGCTGAAATTGGTATTTGGTGTACATAATTGTTTATATAACTCGGTTTGTAGAATTATCGATATAGGTCTACTGTGTGGTATGTACCCTATATTTTCATTGCAAGTATCTACCATAGGTAGGTAGAGGGAATTTAATGTTTTTTCACTTTTTTAACCTAATTTCGCTGTAATTTGGTATTTTGAATTCTTAGTGGCTGTCACATCTCTTACTACCAAAAATATCAATATTGATTTCCATTCTTTTATAGCCACATATAACGGTAGCTTCACTATTATATGTTTTGAGAATTTCAATCATATTTTTCGGTATATTCAAGGTCCTATCATAACATGAGTTTTCTTCTAGGACGAATAGACATTTTTACCACTGTCATTCAACACAGTATGACATTTTTTCTAATATGATAGACTGATGTAGCAAAATTAGAAATTTTATCATTCCTAAGTCAAACTGTGTTGAATAGTCCCCACTAATTTCTGACGTATTTTCTTCAATTTGTTATCAATTTCCGATGATTTCACAATTATATAAATCCAATTTTGTTGACGAAGTAATCCATTTTCTCCCACCTAAACTTAAAACTTCTTTCTTGTTTTTTGCAAAAACCTCAATAACATTCCAAATACAGAATCCCACATACCACGATATGAAATAAATATGTTTCGAAATAAAAAAAAAAACCAAAAAAAACAGAAATTGTAAGTAAACATATGTACACCATGGCGTAGTAGTATACGTATACGTACTTTTTTACTACTCACCGTTATTCATACGCATCGCCACACTCATCTTAGTGTTGGTGGCTTTTGGATTGTAAATAAAAATCCAAGAAGGATGTTCTTCGCTATCTCGCTAGATGGCTGGCAGACTGTCTGGCGGGTTGGTTGGTTGGAAGGTAGGTTGGATGTTTGGTTGACTGGTTTCAAAAGCGTTGAATGTTGTTGCGTTGCGTTCCTTTAACTTGAGTATCTATGTTTTGGAATGTGGGTGTCTTGGCAAAACACGTCTCTCTGTTTGTGTGTCTTTATTTGTGTGGGAGAGTGCGTTTTTTCCCTGTGTGTGTATATCTGTGTTTCACTATGTTTGTGCGGGGGGTTTGGATGTTGTCGTCGTCGTATAAGAAAAAACGCTTCAATGATTTTTTTGCCTTTGTTGCTGTTGCTTTTACGAAATAAATAGAAGAAGAATTTTCTTTTAATGCTATTAGAGTTGATGATAATACAGCTGCTGGAAGATACGTTTGTAAGGTTTTTTTTTTTTGGACCAGCTAAGATGTTGGATATTAATAACTCCCTATCTCTGAATGGTCGGTTGACTGGCTGACTGTCTGTCTGCCTAGGCTTTGGGTTTAGTTTAGAAATACTTCTTCTTTTTGTTGTTTTGCTCCAATTGCATTGCCATCGTGTGCTCTGTAAGAAGCTGCAGCAGATCCACCGATAATGACGACAACACCAATGATGTTGATAATAAGATAGAGGATATGACTGACAGACAGACACACACACACGGCCAGTGAGACACTTAACAAGCCCACATGTACACCGAATGAATTACCCCAGTTAAAGAAAACTGGTCATTATTATTCTGCTGTTTTTTCGTATTATTGTGGTTGATGCTTTAGAACGGGGTGAGGTAAAATCGGATGCTTAAGGTATGGTCGGTCGTTCGGTCGTCTTTAAACAAAAACCAGCCTTCTTATCCGCAATGATACATGATGGTGATGGTATTAGCAGCAATGGTAAAGGATTCAACAGCAGCACAACAACCTGAACCAGATCGAATAAAAGCAGAGGCCATGGTGTCTAGGACTCTTCATGTATTTGTTTTTGTTGTTCTCATAGTTTTTTATTATCTTGACATTCTACAGATGCCTGATGATAATGATGTGAGTATTTTGTTTTTGTTTTTCTGTCTATATAATTTTTTTGTACATTTCTTAAAGCTTTTCTTTTAGGGGGACATTTGGATTATGTTAGGTTTCTCTATATAAGTTTTTATGTCGATATATTTATATGTATGTGTGTGCAATAGTATTTTTTTCTTTCTTTAATATAGCTAATCTCTATGAATATCCTTGGTTTCCATTTCTTTTTCTATAATTTCACTTGGAATTTATTTTCATTGTTGTTGTTGTTTTTATTGTTTCTTTGTCATTCTTTATTTCACTAAAATACCCGTATTACGAAGGATGTGCATAATAAATTGTTGTATGGTATGCTGCGGCTGCCGCTGCTGCTGGGATGTGTGTGTATGTATGTATATATGTGTCAGCATTTGTGGTATCCACTGAATAGTGAGTGTCCTGTTTTTCTTGCTTTGACGATAGCAAGCAGCACACACTTATGCAAGAACACCAAAAAATTAAAATTGCCAAAAAATTTCTTGAAGGATTTTTTTCTCTGTATTTTTTTTATTTTTGTTTTTTTTTTCACTAATAAAAAATATCACACCAATAAATTTGCAAAATTAATTATCTAACATTTTTTTTATATTTTTACACTTAATATTTTGTTGTTATTTTATTTTTTTTTTATTTTTTTCTTTAATTTTTAATTTCTATATAGTAATGTCTGTATATAACATTGCTAGGTAAATTTTTTCTTCTTCATTCATTCATTAATTTGTCTAAATTATTGTATAACAAAAATAAAGTAAATCGTTTTATTTCGTTTCGTTCGTTTGATTTTTTTGGTTTACACGGCCGTTTTTTGTTTAAATTTTATTTTATACATTTGTTTTAAAGTAAAGTGAAAATATTTGTTTTTTATTTAAAAAGACTACCGAAAGCAATCTGCCTCTTTAAAGTTTTTTTCATTTTTCTGTCTCTATATTTATGTGTGTGCGTCAAGTTTGCTTCCTTTCTTCCTTCCTTTCTGGCCGTAGTAGCAAACAAAAAATTATTGTTGTTTTATGTGTTTTTTTTATTTTTTTGTGTCTGAAGTGTCTTAAGAGTAGAGGAAATGAAACACCTCAGCAGCACAATAATTCGAAGATGCGAACGAGATAACAATGATGCTGAAACTGAAGCATCATCGCTGAGTCGAACAGCAAAAATCCTTTTTCTGTTGAGCTATGCTCACGCACTCACACACACATGCTCACGCACCCGCAGAGAGCAAGAGAGAGAATGAGAGGTGATATGTAAACACCAACGCACATTGGTCGCAAACAGCATCCAGTGAGACAGTGATGTCAACTCTGAGGTTTTAGTCCTTGTGTGAATTTTTTTTAAACACATCTTTCAAGGTGGGGATTTTAAAAGATATGAACATCAACACAGACTTATATTTAAACCAGTGAGCGGAGCAGTATAGTCGGGCGGGGCCGACCATACGATACCCTACACAACTACCACAGAGTTCTAAATTTCTCCGGATGTATATTCCAAGCCTGGGCAATATTTCGTGATATTTGCACCCTCTTGGCCGATTAGAGGTCAACAGCACCTCTTCCTTACACTGACATATTTTCCGAATATTACTAATATTCAGTATAGCCCTTCTAATTAATTGTCCAGATTCCCCTCACCGTGGGTTGTATGGTGATTTTCGTTATAACTGTGGCCTATTGTCCGACTAGAAAAAAACACAACAAATTAAGTTTTCGGTCCACTTCATCCTAAAATTAATATCTGATGATTACCGAAAATTATAGGCGTTGTCCTTGACCATACCTTGATTCTCATGGAAAAATTCAAAGCCATCAGCGCATATTACCGCCCTCCAGTGTGGTAATGGATTACTAAGTAATATCTGAATACGTAAGAACCTGTAAATATTTGTGTGTAACTCCCACATCCGAGTACATACGACAATGTAATTGGAGTCATTTTGAAGGTCAACCATTCCTCTTGGATATACTATCAACTTCGCGGATCTATATGCTTCGCGAGTAAATATATTCGGTATGGAATGCAAAGTTTGTCATTTTTCACACAAAAGTCAGGGTCCATAATAATAAATAAATAAATAAATAATGACCGATCTTTATCAAAGCAGGCATGCATATTCTCTGCCCCAATCCTCTTCTCCATGTCCGGGTCATATTTGCGGCCTCTAGAGCGCAAATATGACCCGATACAGGTCACAGTTATGGACCAATCTTCACGAAATTTTGCATGTAGGAGGGGTTTTGGCCAATGGTAAAGATCGGTTAATATTTAGAGGATGAAATGGATCAAATAATTATTTTTTGTCGGTTTTTCTGGTTGCTCCAGAAGTCGCAATTATGGCCCAAACATCGACTTTTTACATGGAGAAGGGGATCGAGCCAAAGAATAAGCATGCATGATTTAATAAAGATCAGTCAATATTTAGCGGGCACCTGAATTTTGTCTGAAAAATGACAAAATTTGTATTCTATGGCATATATATTTACCCCTGTAGGACATAGACCCGAGAAGTTGATAGTGTATCCAAGAGGTGTGGTTGACCTTTAAATTAAAACCAATTATGTTGTCGTATATACTCGGGTGCGGGAGTTATACGTAAATATTTACAGGTGCTTACGTGTTCAGATATTATTTAGTAACCCTTTACCACACTAGAGGGCGAAAATATAGCGCTGATCGCTTTCAAATTTTCCATGAGGATCCAGGTATGGTCACAGCCAACGCCTATAATTTTCGGTGATGATCAGATAATAATATTGGGATGAAGTGGACCGAGAACTTAATTAGTTTTGTTCTTTTTTTCGTGTCGATCTACTGGCCACAATTGAAAGCCGAACATCACAACACAACCCACGTTGAAGGAAATCTAGACAAGTAATTAGAAGAGCTGTACGGAATATTAGTAATATTTTTTGACGTCTAGTCGGTCAAGAGGGTGCAAAATCGCGAAATTTTGTCCTAGCTTAGAATGTAGTGCCACAGAAAGTTAGATTTTCGTGGAACTTGTGTAGGGTATCATATGTTCGGCCCCGTCCGTCTATACTGCTCCGCTCACTGGTTTAAAATATTTCTGTCCAGAAAATATCAAAGCGTGGAATTTTTTAAGTTTTTTTCCAGAGAATACCAGCTGGATTTTTATACCCTTCACAATGTGGTACATGGTATTATGTTTTTGTGCATATGTGTTTGTAACAGGCAAAAGGAATCGAGATAGACCCATTGTTTCTTTTGAGAATATGCATAGAATCACTTTCTGAGTCGATTTATGCATGTCCGTCTGTCCGTTCGTCTATGTATTTTTGTGACTAAAGTACAGGTCGCATTTATGATCCGATTTGAATGAAATTTTTCACATGTCACTTACTTGGCCCATGGTCGAACCCTATTGAAATTGGAGAAAATTGGTTCAGATTTAGATATAGCTCCCATATATAGTTTCGTCCGATTTCATGTAAATGGTGCACCATACCTCCAATATTAGCCCGATTGAAACAACATTTTGCACGGAGTACTGGTATAGGTCTAGATTGATATCTGCAAAATTTTGTCGAAATCGATTCAGATTTAGATATAGCTGCCATACATAATTTCGTCCGATTTTATGTAAATAGAGCACCATACTGCCAATATTGATCCGATTTAGACAAAATTTTGCACAGAGCACTGAATTGTGTCCTGATTGATGTATGCGAAGTTTTGTTGGAATCGATTTAGATATAGCTTCCATTTATAGTTTCGTCCGATTTTATGTAAATGGTGCACCAAACTCCCAATATCAGTCCTATTTAGATAAAATTTTGCACAGAGTACTGAATTCAGTCCAGTTTGACATCTATTAAGTTTTTCTTTTAATTGGATTCAGATTTAGATATAGCTTCCATATATATTTTCGTCCGAT